ATCAGTGCATTGATGATGATGATGGTGGTGATGGTGACGACGACGACTGGGATGAGTGTGTGTGGGTCTTATTGGTTCATTCTCATCGGATTGAAAAAAAGATTTTAATACCTTAATTTCATTACTGCTGGCGGTAACCATCATCATCATCGTCGTCGTCATCATCATCAGCAAAAATTTTACAGCCCTCAACCACATTTCATTGCCATTTACGATATTATACTCATTAAAATGTCAATCTTATCTCACTCTCGCGATTGCTTTCATCATCATGATCATCATCATAATCTGGATCATCATCATGATCATCATCATGATCATCATCGTAATCATCATCGTCGTCATCATCATCATCATCGTCATAATAATAATAATAATAATAATAATAATAATAATAATAACAATAATAATAATAATCATCATCATCATAATCATTATAACCCTCATCATTTTTAGTAACATCGTTATCGTCTTCATCATATATTATCGTAATTATCGGCTTTATCATCATCATTGCCATCTTCATAATCATCATCGTCATCTTCATCATCACCAACATCATCACCGCCATCTTCATCGTAACCAACACCAACATAGTCTTTTTCATCATCACCTACATCATCATCCTAATCATCACCAACATCAACACAGTCTTTTTCATCATCACCAACATCATTATCTTAATCACCACCAACATCAAAACCGTCTTCATCATCATCATCCTCCTCATCGTCGTCATCACTTTTCGGTGCAGCGCATTAAATTGAAATTAAATGGAAAGCGACGGGTGCGTGCATTTGTGGTTGCGCGCGAGTGGTGGCCAATGAAGCGTGAACGATTGCATCTCTGCCAGTGCAAGTTGTCTTTCTTGCAGATTCTGCTGCTGCTAGTTGCACGTTGTTGTATATCTTCAATGTGTTTTTGCCTTAACTAATTACTACCCTTGTATGTTGTATTCACTCTGAATAGTATTTTCAGTCTTACAAGTTAGTAATTATTTTTGTGTGTTGTTTTCTACTCTGTCTATTTACTAATTCAAATCGTTATTATTTATTGTTAGAGTATGCGGCGCTCTTGTAAGAGATTTTTTCTACATGTTTAATGATTTAAGTTGGGATTGCGTTTCATTTTCGTCATTGTTGTGGTTGGTGTTAATTGTTTAAAAAAAGTTGTTGTTGCTGTTGCATGTAACGCCAGCAAGTCTCAATAGACAGATTACACTTTTCTGACTAGTGTGATAAAGTTTGACTGATATCAATATTAAGTAGAGATTCATTAACAAAGTTTAATAAATATTTAAATGTTTAAAATAGGACATTTTGTTTATATCAAATAAAAACAAAATCTATTAAAGAAGATTCTCAGATGAATAATTTTTTGCCATTACTCTTCTACACTTGTTTCATTTGCGAGAAGAGTTTCAATTTTTAATGAAGATTAAATTATGGCACAACATTAGATTAAAAAAATAATTTTAATTAACTTATTATACAGAAAATTATTTGAGAAAATAATCGATTCATCAAGCCAGCAACAAACAATCCGGTAACAAGTTGATGCGATTTACCTGAATTCCAGCACCTGAGTGTGCCGTGCTAATTGGCCTTCGTGTCATTAGTATAAATAAACACGCACACAAACACACACACACACACACGCACACATATAATATCGGAACACGCTTTTGGTAATATTGCCTGTGTTTGAGTTATTTGGTCGAAAGTTTTTTTTAATACGCAAGTACCTGGATAGATGTATTGTAACGCGATGCACACTAATATCGTATGTACAAATTAATTTAATGTACCGAAAATTGCACTTGTACACACATACACACACACACACGCACACGCACACACACACGAACAAACAGACACACACAGGAATATAAGAACAACAAATTTACAATGAGATAGGATGAACAAACAAACGAATGAACCCAAGAGGCGAACAGTTATAAAACAGCGCCGAACAAACAGCGTAGCACTCACAGATTTTTTTAATTTTGATCTTTTTAGATTGAAAATTTTTTGATTTTTACGTAGAAATTGTAACAAAGAAAATAGAAATTATTAAAAAATTTAAAAAATCTGGAAGGTATCACCAACTTTAATAACTATGCCAGCGAAAAAGTTTAAAAATACTTAAATTTTAAGAACAATTTCTAAAATTATTTACAATTCATGAAAAAAAAAACAAATCAGAAATAACGAAAAAGTTTAAAAAATCACTGCATACCATTCATCTACAGCCATTTGAAAATTGAATTTATATTAAAATTTATCTAAAACCACACAAGTTATTTACATCTCCATTCGTTAATACTTGCACACCATGACATGACACAACGGTGTACAAGTCTATTCACTTGTAAAAATACTCACAGTTAGTGATTGATTCATTGTGATTTTGTGCATAAGTTGATAGAGTTAAATAAATTGAATAAATATCGATGTGGATTTACTTGATGAATGTTCCTAAATAAATGGATGATGGCATATGTTTGGTTCAGCCGAACACACTGTTTAAATCTTTAATAAACAAGTCTCCTGCCATTTTTTGTTCTATTGTTATTAATTGTTCTAGAATGTAAAGTTAAAATACAGAAAAGAAACTTAACTATTCAAGCGTAGTTATAATTTTTATTATTGTAAACATATTTGCACATTTTAGTAATTTTCTAAAACGTGATTGCGTGCAAATGCTCAATCTAAATATATTTATAAACCATAATGTAAAATATATTAAGCAATAAAGATATTTTTTATACAAATTTAAATGCATCTAACTATTTCGTCAAATTTAACGTTTAACGATGCAATAGATTCAAATACAAAATCTAATAGCTCGGGCTATATTTGAAAGTGTGTTTAATGAAAATTGGTGGGTGTTACGTTTAAATTTTGGAACATGAGTTTTTTGCTTATGTTGATTTTGTTGTTTTGAAATAATTTTGCAAGGTAAGCAAGCAGCCAACTATATCAACGTGTTAAGATTAAGTCAGAAAAATAAGCATCCAACATGAAATTATATGATATGCATCAGAAGCCTGTAACTGTTGAAAATAAGTTTTAAACAATTTTAAAAGTAATAAGAAGAAAATTTTTTTGATTAGATAGTATGTGGCTTTTTTAACGATAGTCGTTGCCATTCATAAATCTTACCAAAATACACACCCACAAGCAAGTATAAATACTGTAATAGCAAATAAATTTATGGAAATAAAATTACAACCTAATTTGAATATACGTATTTGGTATAGGGTGTAAACAAAATGACGCCGGCGACGTTTTTAATTTCTTCGAACGTTTGCAGCCAGGAATTACCTTGGCACGCAATTTCTGGAGCTGCATAATTTCAATTTTTTGAGGCTATAACGACTTTTTCCTTCATATATCCATCAGTTATTATTTTTTTTTGTTTTCTGTTGGCATGAATTACATTAACTTTTCTTCTGCTTTGATACTGTTGATCATACTATTCTCTAGAGGCTGCTTGATCATTCTTTTAATCTTACTGATTCTTGTCTATCTTGGTATTCTTTATATTTCTCTAATCGTTTTTCTTTAGTTGTTCTTATTAATTCTACTTCTAACTCCTCTACTCTTACTTTTGAGGTACTTCAGGTTTTTATTCTAGAATTTTTTTATTTTTAGAATAAAAAAACTTTTGCCTTTTCTTGATGATCCTACACTTCTTGTTACTTTATTAGTTTTATCTATGATTGATTATTGTAACTCGTTCTACTATGGTCTTCATGATTCTACACTCTATCTTTTAAGTAAAGCTTTTAACTCTGCTGCTCGTCTAGATTCTCGTGCTCCTTTCTTTTGTATATATATATAAGTCTCAATCTAAATTATTTCCTAAGTACTTATCAGATATATTAATTGAACCTAAACGCCCCGGTTTACAATCTTCTTCTCGTTCTCATTTCTTTTTAACTCGTGTTAAACACTTTTACTAGATTTGCATTTGCTTTTTCTGGCAATTTTCTCTGGAACTCTTTATTTCCTCTCTGACTACTTCTTCATCACTTACGAAGTTAAGAGAGGGATCTCGAGACCCAACTGTTTGTAAAATTCACTGATGAGCGCTGTTAAACATCACGGAAATAACGCTTTATGATCTATTTGATTGATTGATTAAAATGTTTTGCGAAAATTTGTTCAGTAATGTTGCTGACCCAGTATTTTAAAATTTCAAAATTGTTAGTTGAACTATTAAATTTAGTTTTAAAATATTTTAGATATTTTGGTAATGCTTTAATTTATGATAGAGCATAATGAATTTCCACTTTTAATTAGCTGATAATTAGTTATTAATGTGAAAGTTTAGATTTGGCAATATAACCATTGAGAATACACACATTTTACTATTGCTTAGAAGAACTTTACGATAGAACTACAAAGTAAAACTAGTACAACCAAAAAAAACTGAACATGAGATGGCAACGATGAGCAAGCGATTCGCATTATTTCTTTGGTTGGATGCGGTCATTAAAAATGCAGATATCTCCACGAAACTGTTCGACGAATTTGCATTAACTCCTGCATGCCTTCCATGTTTCCACCGTCCATCTAATTACTACTCCACTCATCTTATAACTGCACATTAACTATCTGTCATGAAAATTATTCATATGAAATTGCTCATATGAAATTAAAATCTCTTGTTTGGTTATGAATGGAGCAATTAAAACCCTACAAAATAAACAAACATTCTCGGTATGGTGGCAGCCACTTACAACGTGGAAACTGTTAAGCGTTTAACTTGATTGCGTAATCTCAAATTGAATCTCACAAATGCTCGTCAGTGTCGTGAGAGGTCACTACAGCTCTTTAATGACGTCATTTGTTTTATCCTCGGAGCCGGGGGAATTGCAAAAAATAAAACCTCAAGTGCGATCCACTCACTGATACATGAATGACGTCATCTATGGCGTCATTGCTAATGGTTCCACTTCAAATGTCACATCATATCGGCTTGCTGTCATCATCTACACTACATGCTAAGTGATCATTTTAGAAAAGTTTAATAAAATTGTTTTTATATGATCGATTTTGAAATTTATAATTTTTTACTATTTTGGAATGTACGAAATAAATAAAAAATTTTTAAACAAGTTTTAATAATTGAATTATAAAGAAGTTTTTAAATGAAAATATAATAAGAAAATCAATCAAATAAATATCAAGCTATGTGTAAACATTAAGAAAAATTCAAAGAAGTTTTTTGATTCGAAATCTTTGAAAGATGATCGATAAAGTCCTTGGGCTAAACAAACTGGAAATATGGACTAGGAAAATTTTCACATTTGTAATAAATATTTCAAGAGCTCTCAGCTTAAACTTTAAAACATGTAAAAATACTTGTGAAAAATAACTCATCATATTTTTACGTTATTTATAAACCTATACAATTTAGACTAGTTACATAAGTATTACTAATACACAATTTTTAAAATGTTTTCTTAAAAGCGCTTTTAACAATGATTGAAACAATTTATGTCACATAAACGCTTCAGCGATCGAAGAGATAAGTCTCAAACAACTTTTAGAAATTCTTGACGGAGAGACCTTGTTGTCGCAAGTAGGACGGTAGGCTGTTCTATACTTCTTAACCGCAATGGAAAAATTTCTTGAACCAATCTTTAAATGTGATGCTGGATGGTCCACCGAGATTTTATCGTCACGACGTACATCATGTATACACACACACACACACACACACACACACACACACACACACACACACACACACCACACACACACACACATACACACACACACACACATATATATATATATATATATATATATAATGATGAAAATCACATCATGTTCCGCGTTGGTTAGCTTCCTGTTTAATTTTTTGATTTCCCACAAATCATCTTCAGTGCAGGTTTGGTTTATATAGTTTCTTTGAACAAATCAAAGTTGGTTCTTTGGCAAAGTGAGTTAAGTAGTTGGTGTCAAATAAGGTTGAGACAATTTGATATGCAAGATGTTAAAAAATTTAACAGCATTGCAGGCATTGTTCAATTTGCGATTGAATTTTTCAATTTTATATAAGACGATTATTAGTTCATTACCACGTTTGTTCAGTTTATAAACAAAATTTTTATTATTAATTTGAATTTTTTATAAGGTATGTATGAACATGATAACATGTATGTGTGTGTGTGTTTGTGTGGGCGTGCGTGTTTATTAATTTGAAAACAAAAACAAATAATAATAGCTTAATAATAATAATAATAATAATAATAATAATAATAAACAGGAAAGAGAAATGTTTGAAGAGACTGGAGAAGACATCGCAATTAAGATCCACTGTCACCCAACTGGAAAAACGAGCAGCAATACAGCAACAAAAAAAAACAACACTGACAACAATAACAACAACAACAATAACAACAACACATTGAAAACCAAAACAACAATAAAATAATATAAACAAAGATAAAACAACAAAAACAAAGAAAAAAAAGCAGAAACTAGGCAGAAAACAGTTTAGAATAAAAAAAGCACATCAGATTAAGATTCCATCAATCAAGGCAACCAAAGACAAACAACAGAACTAGAACTACCAGGAAACAACAACAACAGTAACGTTTTAGACAAGAGCGCGTTTCTTTATAATTACACGTTTGGCATATGTCGGTGTACATTTCTTTGTATAACTATGTCTTTGTTCAGATACCCGGATCAATTCGTTTGTGTACAAGTGTAATGAGAAGAGTTAAAAAGTTGTATGACAATCGGCAGCATTTCTAAATATAAATACAACAAAGCAAGCCTCAATAGCGTTCAACCTCTAATAGATCAAGAAATTCAATTAAAATATAATAACGGCAAGGAAGAACAACTCTGAGCAACAAAACACAAAAAATCAGCTGAATCAACAACTGCGTTAACAAAGAGACATTACATTTACGCCAATCTCAATGGCTTGATTTTTTAAAACATGACAACACAAAATTGTTCAAAACAACAACAACAATTAATGTAAATTAATTTTAAGTTAAACTGGCAATAAATAACAATTTTGAATTTGAATCATAGCAAATAAACTCAATAAAATGAATTTATATACCATGTTATAAGCTGCCTAATAAAAAAATTATTAAACAAATGTCAAAAATTAGTTGGAGTGACATTTCAATTAACTCATCTTCTCAAATATTATTTTTTGAGGTTCCGTCGAAAATAACTGTTGTTGGTTTGGAAAATAATGATTAAAAAAATGACAAAATATATAAGCAAATTGGCTTAAAAATAACTGCAACAAATTTCAGCCAAATGAAAAGTGACAAGAACTTAAACTAATGATTAAAATCTGACGGCGAACAAAAATAACCTTAGCACAGGCAGCTGAAACCAACATTAACATCAGCAAGCACGTCACAGCAACGCCATACACAACAAGATCAATTGTAAGAAGACATCAATTGAGATAACTGAATTGATATGATCCTGATCAATAAATTTCTAATTTTTTGCTTGCATCAACTACACATCACTCTCGCCTCCACTCCATCTCACAATTCTTCATCAAAATTGCCATCGTCATCAGCATCGCCTCTGAATTTGGCTTCCTCTTCATCACCATCTCCACTATCGTCATCATCATCGTCACCACTATCATCACAATTCTTATCATCACCAACACCAAACTTATCATCATCTTTGTCAAAATTATATTCCCCATTTGACGTGTGGTATGGAGGTGAAAAGGTATCAAACAGTTTGGAAGGATTCGTTAATTCGGACAACTCAAACTCCAGTCGTTCATTGAATCGCCGATCTTATAACTTTGCTATTAGTGGAAACAACAATAATAACAACAATAATAATTATAACAATAAAAACTTAAATAAGAAAAATAATAGAAACATTGATAACAATAACGCATTTACTATTAAAACCAGCAACAAAAGTCATGCAAAAAACATTGCTAGTAATGCAACAATTATCACTAACCTAGTAAACAATGGCAGGCAAATCAAAAACAGTAGCAGTAAGAACTTCACTGTTGATGACAACTTCACTTATCTCAGCAGCAGCAGCAACAACAGCAGCAACAACATATCCAACCTTTCAAACTCAATGTACGTCCTTGCAAGACCGAAACTTGTTGAGTTTCCACCCAACCAGCCTACCAAACTTATTTCTACCTTCAGTCCATCTGATGCACTTTTCAACCCTCTTCAACGATTTACTGTTAGTAAGGACGGTACCAAATTATTTATTGGAGGGGTGAACAGGTTGTACGAACTCAACATACTGTCCAGTTACAGCGATGGCTCAAACAAATTTGTAAAAGGTAACTCGTTTTTACTCAAAATATTCATACATTCGTTAACGAATAAAAATTTAAGCTAACATTAATAACCGATTAAATTTATTTTATTGAAGAAGTGCTGAAAAAATTATTTTTAATTTTATTTTTAATTTCAAATGAATTTCAAGGTCCTCAGCCAACTTTGAAGCTGGTGAACACGTTAACCACGGGACCAAAACAGGACAGTCCAAACTGCCCACCCCCCGAGGAGGTTTGCCAATGCGTCCACTCAACTGAGTGCAGGGACTTTGAGAAAGTCCTCACAAACAACTTCAACAAGGCTCTGCTCTTCTTGGACAAAGATGGATCGCTCCTGTCATGTTCCAACTTGTTTCAAGTTTGTAGTCACCAAAATAAAAGATTCATCATTATCGCAGTCAATATTTTATACATATTTAATTACTAACCACTGAGTTACTGAATTTAATTAGTTTTTAATGACTTGAGCTGAATGAATGCGGCAGAAGGAATGCTAGACATAAAACGCGTTTGCAACTTTTTAGTAATTTTGATCAACGTAATTTATTTCATAATTAATGATGTCTTCCTATCCATGAACATCATTTTGATATAATATAATACCATCTTATTTTCCACAAATGAAAATAATAACAATTTCACCAGCATCATCCTCACCCCCACCCCACTACATCTCCTACAAACCCAACCTCTCCACATCTTCTCAGGGCCACTGCACGCTGTACAGCCTGGAGAACAGCACCACCTCGTGGTACGTGGGTCACAGGCTCCCTGTCCAAGTGGTCCCTAACGATCCCGATGCTCCCGCTATTCTTTTCGAAGCTCCGTACTCACGAACTACAACAAAGGTCGGTGCAATTTGCATATGTACATTTTTAATACGTACATATACATGAATGCATGCATATGTGTATGTATGTACGGGCATGCATTTTCATGCACGAAAATATTTTGTATTTATTTGCTCAACTATTTAACTACTGAATGTAATTTTTCATGTTTCAAAAATGATTTTATTTCGTATTTGAAACGTTGAAAGTATGAACGGTCGAAATGTTGACGATGGGAAGCAACACAAAAAAACAAAACTGGACTGCATAACTTCAATTATAATCATCAAAAATTAATCACATTTCGACATCATGCCAATCAGCATGAAGGTGTTAATTAAAAAAATACATACAGCGGACAAATCAAATTACTTTCTGAATATTTCCCAATTTTTGCTAATTATTTTTCATTTTTCGTTGATTAGTTTGCGGATAATTTTTCTAATTAAAAGACTGCCATGAAAGCCTTCATTGTTATTCAGCATTAATTTGACGCTGATCTGGGGAAACATGGAAAGAGAAGGCAAGAAATAATTAAGAAACATCGTACCTGCCTGTGCAACTTTTATTTGTTTGCATATTTATACTGCGAGAACACGCAATTATTCCGACACGCCAGCACATGCAACACGCACATGTTGCGCATGTGCGTACACTCACGTACACGCAAGTAAATAAAACGGTTGCACGCGTACACGTAAAAGCAGGTTTTATTTCGTGATCTATTGGTATTATGCAGGCTTATTACGTTGGTAGTTGAAAAAAAACACGAAACATGTGGTTCAACCTACGTGATACTTGATATCTCGGTGATTTTCATGTGCCTGCCTATTTGTTTGTTTGTTTGTTCTTTGATTTGTTTGTATAAAAATAATGACCTGTCAGTCTTTCTATCAAGTCAGCTTTATTCATATAACCGTTTAAGCAATGTACAACAAATAAATAGAAGACAAAATACCGAAATCAAAAAATCTACAAATAAATTTTATGATTTAGTTTGCCATTTTTAAATTTAAATTTACATAGAAAATTTTGTGTCCAATTATTCAGGCAATGTTAAATTTTTTGTTCATGTACATACATGCATATCTCTAAAAACATCCTGAATTGTGAATGAGTTTTTATCTACATTTACAATGTTTTTCTTAATTTCTAATATATTTTGGTAGAGACGCACTTAAGATTGGGCATCTATTTGTTCTTATGAATGAATTGAAAAATATGAATGAACTGCATTAGGAATCAGCGTAATTATTAGGAAGATTTATCCGGTTCAGTCCAAACAGTAGAAACTTCGAGTGCAAATTCTGCGTGACGACGATAATAATACGGCTGATCACATCAAAATTTCATTCGAGCAATTGCTAAAAATAAGATTGAAAAATCGTTAAATTTGTTCATTTGTGGTAGCAACAAATACGTAGGTCCTTTTAAGAACTGGATGGACTATAATTCAATAATTTTTTAATAAATTGCAACGTTTATTCCAATTTTTTTATAAGAATCGCAACATCAGCAATTTATTGTGTAGAACAAAAGAACGTGTAGGTTTGTATCACAAGCCCAATATGCAGTTGAGTGCACCTGGCCCACACAGTTAACAACAACCTGAAAACATTAAGATTTTGCTTGTTCTTCAAATTTTGCTTAATTTTTTCAATTAAGTACGATTTTACAGAAAGTTACCTAAAGTTAAAACATTTTCAATTTTTACAAATGCTTATTTTTCAAGATAAGAGTTATTAATATTACAGTTTTGCAGATTTCATAAAATTTGTTGTCGAAATACTACTCAAGTATTTCATACTTTAAAATAATAAGAGCCATTCAATAGTCAGTTCTAGGTTGTGTATAAGCTGAGTTCATGTAGTCATAATGAATAACAACATTTTTGTATGTTGGTAAAATCAACAAAACAGTTCACAACATGGTTTGTTGTTTCTTAATTAATTTATTCAATCAACAAAATCAACAAACAACCAAAAAGTATAAACAACCTCTGCATGTAAACAAAAAATGGCGTTAAAAATTTTCACGCATTATTGAAGCAGCAAATGCATGTGCCCTGCAAATTACATTTCCCTAATGAGCGATCAGGAAGGCATAAAAAAGAATCCCAACCCGCTAACAGAAAAACCTTCGACAAAAAGTGTAACTTTAAAATTTATGTTAACAACAATGCAACAACAGCATTCACAAAAGCGTCATCAATTAATTCTTTTAACAGTTGGATAAAATAAAAATTGACATTAGGAAAAGAGGAGAAATTACCGTGAAGATAAGGGTAAACTGATTGGAACATAAGTTGAGTATTTTATAAAAACAAAAGACAGCAACAAAATAATTAACATCTGCAGTTAGATTGAAAGATGACGCTTCAAAACATTTTGCAAAAGTTTTATTAAACGAAATAAAAATTCGCAAAGCTTACAGTTGAAAAAAATAACCATATTAAAAGTTAAAGGTTATTCTTTCTTTTATTGTACATTATTTAGGAATGTCGTCAACACACACGCATCACACTACGCATCACACACACACACACGCACACACTACACACACACACACACACACTAAACACACACACACAAATCATAGGTGGGATCAATCTTGCGTTTAAACCCGGTCACTGTGAATGAAATAGCATCAAGCGCCTAACAAGTAATTACAACATTAACATATCTACAACAAACATTAGATCAATGACGTTAACGTATACAATCACATCAACACAACATTAACAACAAAAAACGCAACAACTCCGTCATGAGCAAAAACTTTAAAAAATAAAACATCAACCACAACGACAGCAGCTACACAGTTACACGAAGACTAGCAGCTAACGCAGTTGTCAGGTGCAATTAAGTAGAGCACCAGTCACCAGACTTTTTTGTAAGACCATCTTAGGCATGTTGATGTCATAGTTGATGCCGATTCATTATTGATGTTTGTTCTGTTAGAATAAATATTTTTTTTAGAAAACACCACGTTTATGGAGCTGGTGGGTGGTTTTTGCGTGGTTTGTTTGTTTATTAAACAAATGTTTGAAGATGTGTACTTGATTTTTTTATTGTTTCTTTTATTTTGTTTTGTCAAAATTTATAAAAAAAATATCAAATTTGGTAAATTGTTGTTTTGCAATTTTGGACATTGTTTTTGATTGAAGATGGTTGCTTTTATTGTTCGTCAAAATATATTTGTTAAGCTCAGATGATACATTTTAATTTTGTCCGTTGTTTTCATTACCAATGATGAATTCTAACACTAAGAAATGATTTTATTGATTTTTTCATATTTTTCAAATACAAAAAATAAGGCCTTTCCAATATGTTGAAATGATAGGAGTTGATTCTTTTAAGAGTGTGCACGTGGTCTTAATGCGATGTTAAATGTTCTTTATGCTTCCTGCTCCCGTCGTTATTTCAAGTAAATTGTTGGAAGCTGCCTACAGCAAGCATTATTTTGCAGTGAAACATGTCGTAAGTTTAAAAGAAATCAAATTAATGTTTTTCTATTTTTATCTCCACTTTTAATCATTATTTTTTTTTAATTTTCAGCTGAAAGAACAAGAGCAACAACTTCACAACCAGCAAAAACATTCAACAAAATACCAACCACAGCACAAACAACTGCAGCGAGATGGTGAAAATCATTCAAAACCGCAAACCGTTTTATACGTTGCTTCGACTCGGAGCAGTATCGGTTTACCGGCATATCGAGACATCATTCCTTCTATATGCACACGTAACAGCACAACACTAGAGCTTGTCTCCAGTAGCATTCTAACTCCTTCGAGAATGGATGTGGAGGTTCACAGACGGGATAGGTAGGTTGTTTGTAGTTGAGATTATGAGAGAGACAATGATGAAGTTGAAAATTTTGGTGATGTTCGTTTTATGAAAAGTTTGTTTTATAGAATTATTAGAATTTGTGAGCCATTAAATTTTTAATAGTTTCAATAAAAAATAATAAAAAATATGTTTATCATGTTGTTTCATTTTTTTAAAAATTGTGTTTTGTTAAATGCCCATTAAACATCAGCATCATCCAGAATGAAACAACCATTCATATCAGATTTCGCATTCAGTTCATACATGGATTCAGCTTCAAAGGATTCAGTTATTTCTTATCTAACCAGCCATCCACAACATCGCTATCATCATCGCCATCATCATCAAGTTCATCGCCAGCGTCTTCATCATCATCCTTATCTTCGTCAGTGGCATCATCATCCTCATCATCATCTTCGTATCATGACATCCTCCACGGCCCTGATGACGACCATGATTACTTACTGCACAACCATCAACTACCTCACCATCGTCATAATTATCATTCTCCTGATACTCATCGCTCCCATCACCATAATCATCATCAACACCACCAATCATCGACGATGTCAACATCTTTCGATGAAATGATGACGACGACGACGACGATGGCTCGTGTGTGTCAGGGGAGTGTGTCTTTGTTGCACTCCTACAGCGAAATTGATTTAAATTGTTTCGCCTTTCAAGAAATTGAAAAAGAGAGGAAGACGGACGATAGGAGCGATGACGTCGATGATGACGTCAACAACAGTGACGACAACATCGACGACGACAACTATTATGATTACAATGACGTCGACCATGATGGAGCTGGCGGTGATTCTAACGATCCTGATGACGATTTTGTTTTTATGAAAGTTCCATTAAGCGATCGTACGTGCAATTCAAAGAGAAAACATGTTGTTAAAGTCTCTTACAATCAGTTGCTTCAAGTTTTTGTTCTGCAACCCTCACAACTGCAACAAGAGCAACAAGAAGTGCGTCAAAAAAATTTTTTTAAGCGACAAAATGAACAACGATACAGAAGACAGAACCAGCACCTGAAGAAACATCGACACCAGAAAGATTATTCCTCCTCCAGCTATAACATGAAACGCGATTCGAAGAAAAGTAATTCAACTAGTAATTATCTCCCACTTCCCAACAATCTGCGCGGCATCAACATTATTACAAACTCTAAAAATAACATGAAAAGAGTTCAAGCCGATAAAAATCATGAAAATATAATGCCAGTTAATGACGTTAATGAACCGGGTAGTTACGAGGGAGATGATGAATTTATTTCAAAGAACTACAAACACCGGGTGAATGATCTTCTTGTAAAGCATGAAGCATTGTTCATCGGAGTTTTCACTCAGGCGCATCAACTGCCGCTTCATCATCCACAAGAAGAAACAACCGCTACTTCCATAAGTGCAAACCATCTTGACAAACGTAATTCAAAGCGCAAAAACAATGATGATGACGACAACGATGAGGAAAATAATTATGAAGATGTAGTTGACGAAGGTGAAAGCGAGGACGACGACGAAAATGATGAAGATGCGCACATTGGAAAGGCTGGTGATGCGCCTATAAACCACCGGTCCAATGACCTAACCGGCCATTTCACTACTTACACTGATTACAACAATGACGATAACCCTGGCACGAGCCATTCAAACAAGACGAGTTTTAAAAATATTAGACACGCATACCGACCTCGCAACACTGCCATTGCCATCATCTCAATGGCTCAGATGAATCAATTTTTTTCCTCCTCCATACAACGCTGTTTCAAAGGTGAAGGTAGCACGGGGCCCGACCATTACGTACATCCAAACGCCTGCTTCAACACGGTCAGTCATCTCTGTCTGTCTGTGCGTGTCTGTCTGCCTCTGTGTGTGTGTGGGTGTGTGTCTGTGTGTTGTGTGTGTGTGTGTGTGTGTGTGTGTGTGTGGGTGTCTGCGTGTGTGGGAGTAGGTTGACTTGCTGGCAGGTATTTCATCGTCTTAGTGTCAGTAAGCATGTTCTGGTTTAAATGTTGCTGGCACGTATGTTCAGGTGAAAATGTTTGTTTAACACAAAAATGTACAGAAAATTGTATAAGTATGTCTGAGTTAAGTGTTTATTACTACGTGGCTTTCATTGTAGAATTTATAAGAAAGTGTTGGGTATTAAAATAGAATACATAGTACGAAGCATAAGTTGCAGTTTGCATCAATTTAACAAACGATATGTTATGTTTAAATGTTTAAAGATGTTTATGTTTATGCATACATTTGTTTGTTTATCGCATTAGTACAAATTCACGTATGCATATCTCATTAATAATATGGTGGAGGGTGGTGCAAGTTTTCTAACTCAGCGTATATGCGACAATTATCGTGTAATAGAATGGCAGGCTTGTGTGTCTGGTTGGACACAAAAGTTATTACATTTAACGTTAATACTTTTTTCAAACAAAGGTTTTTTTATGTAAGTAAGCGAATTTTCAAAAATTAAAATTATTTAATTCATTTTTAACATTTGAATTCAATATTATTATATAATAAATAACAATAAATTTGCTATGCGAACAAATGAACTAAGTAGAAGAAGCGTGCATGAGTAGCTTTTGATCGGAAACCTTTTTATTAATGTACGCGTAAACTCTTATATCCAAAACGATGGAATTGATGGTGTTACATGAATTCAAATAACTAAATAAATTAATATATTTTAATAAATAAATAAACAATTAATTAATTAAATAATGTATAATATGTTGTATTTATATATATGTGTGTGCGCGCGTGTGTGTATGCCGTATGCATGGGTGTGTGTGTGTATACACGTGTGTGTACGTGATTGTGCGTGATTGTTTGTGCGTCTATAAGCTTAAAATGTAACATTTACATGTGAAGGTATTTATTGCGGCACCAGGGCGGCACGTACGATCCTAACTAAACCTTGCCAAGAAATCTATTAATGAGATTTATGCCATGATGCGCTTGTTGTTCTCTTCTGGTAGTTGTTGGTTTTTGTTGCTGGGTTTTGTTGCGTCATATTTGGTGTTTTTGTTTTTCGTAACCTTGAAATGTTTGGATGATGACTGCTTTGGTTAACTTTTTGTCCCGTTGTTGGCGTTATTGTGGCTGCTGTAGTAGTTGTTACGGCTTCTGTTGCAGTTGGCGATATCGTTTGATCGTAGTGTGGTTGATGTTTATAGAACAATGGAGCTGGTTTTGCTTAATTTTGAAGCGGTTTTATTATCATTGTCGTGGTTGCAAAATGTTATTTATAGCATTATTTCTATCCAATCGATTAACCTTGTGGCTTTTTATGTATCTTGTTTTTTGGGTTTTGACGCGATTGATTTTTTGTTGTCAACTTATATGCTTAACGCATTTTTAAATAATTATTCTTTTACAAAAACGTTTTCTTTAGAACAATTAACACAAAAAATGATATTTAATAACGTAAATTCATTCGTACTCATACAGATAAATGTGTATGTGACAAACGATATTGTATTGGTTGGTGATTCAACCACTCAACATAACACGAACACACACACGCATATTTTTAAATATTTTACTAGGTTCATAAAATTTATTTTTATGAACATTTTATAATTGCAATTTTGATTTTATAAAACATGGACTTTAAAACTTTTCTGTAAAAATGTATTTTATTAGGTAATTTTGATTGATAATTGCAAGTCAAAAACTTCTGGATATGTCATCATTCAAATTCAGCAAACTAGAGATGACAAATTTGTAAGACATTACAAAGTGTTCAAAAATAGGCTCTAAAATTATTGTTGTGAGATAACACTTCATAATTCAACGCTAGTTCATACTTCCATTACAAAATAACTCTTCAAATTCTAACTTTATTATTGAAATGTAAACAAATAAGAAAAAAGTTTCTTGAGTAGAGGTTTTTTGTAATGTTGAAATGAAAAATTAGTTGAAAATGAACTGTTAACAGTTAAACATGCGAAAGCTAATAACATCGGACAGTTGGTGGGAGAAATGCAAAGTAGTTTTTAATAGAAGATGTGTCAGTCAGACCAGCCGGACTCAAAAGGATGGAAGGAAGGCAGCTGTAGAGAAGCAGCGACAGAAGTAGAGGGAAGGACGGAATCATTAGTGCTAATGTCCTTAATTAAACACACGTCGTATGAGTTACACGCAAATATTTCTTACATGACATCTACTTACGTGCACTTTCTTAGCAATGCAGGCAACGCCACTGCGTATTCGCGCGCCAACATGTCAACAAACACCTCCAGATAGCAGAATAGTCAGCACGACTGCTTTTTGAACTGCAATTTTTCAAAAAAAAAGTTCAAACCAAAAAACACAAACACACAAACATTCACATACACACACCCACATACAAACCTAACAACAGATGAAGCATGCAAACACTCGGTCAGGTCAGAACATAAACACGCACTTCAAACAAACTTCGGCCCAAGTACCAGACGTATTGGTAGAAATAATTATACAGAAAAATACCCAACATTATATAAATTTGTGGTTTTTTTAAAACGAAACTTTTTTTTAGGTTGGGGCAGGTATCTTATATACCGCACGCTGGAACAACATCACATTCAGATTGCTTAGTCGACGTTCTAATTTTTTTCCGTTTTTTTTCTTCTGTTGTTTGCCTTCAAGAATAATTTATAAGATTCCTGAAAATAAGTTTTTCATGTTTTTTTGTCGCGATGCACAAGGTGGCAACATTTTGTTTAGCTGTCATCTATTATTCTCGGCTGTCTTTGGAAATTTTTCTTGCGTTTCAAAATCAATTATTGAGTTAAAACATTTCTGACATTTTATTTTTAGTTTTTTAATTTCGAAACAAGTTTCAGTAAAAAAAAATTAAAAAGAAACAAAAGTAAACAAAAAACAACTGAAATGCTGAAACAAAGAAATAAAGAAGATAGAAAAGAAGCTGATAGATGAGCTTCTAAAGCTGACTTGATCTCCTAATATGGATGCATACGTGACCACCCGCTAGATGTCCTTTCAATAAACAAATAATAGCAAGCACATCGCTAACTTATATTTACATGTGAGCATACGAACGGTGCTAACATCACATATGGTGAGATGGTTAAGAACTCGGTTCGGTGTTTTGACCAACTGGTTTCAAATGCAAGAAGATATTTCCTTCCACCCATCATGTACAAGTACAAGTGTTTTACGAGTTGATTCAAGTGGATTTTAGCATGTTACGTATGAATGTTCAGAGTGATAGCACAACCACAGCTCAGAGTAGTTCAGAGTTATACCACAACTGGATGAAAATAAACAACAGCCTAACAGACTGCGGAGAAAATTGCTAACAAAAATAAAGCGAACCATTCCTGTTCCACAATGTATGAAAAACTTTTATTTGCGAGAACAGATACAAACTTAAATAATAAAACATAAATAAACAACTGACAACAAAACTACAGAAAACTCAAAAACAGAAACGACAGATATAAAAACCCACAACAACAACAACGTCAACTAAACACCATCAACAACAACTTCAATTAAACAACAAAGCAACAACAAAAACTTCAATTAAACAACAACCACAACAACAACACCAAAACACTCAACAACAAATTTTTTCAGTCTAAAAACAATTTGTTTATGCATACAGAGTGGAAGTCATGAGGCGAAATGATCGTCAATATAATTAATTGCGACGTCATTAATAACAAACCGTAAACAAATTTTAAATGGAACAACAACATCACTCCTAAAATAATTCTTCCGCTACATACAAACGCTCATTTTTCTATGACTAGCACAATATATTTGTATATATTATGTATGTATTAGTTAATAATAATAATTGTAATGAACGCTGATTAAGATGATGATGATGACACTGGTGATGATGATGACGACGTCAATATGGGAATGATGACGATTTAAATAACGACCTTGATGGTATTATCACTAAAAAGAGTGAGTTTTTTGATATAATCAACATAAAAAAAGGATTTAAAAGAAATGAAACAAATTAGACAGACGTGATCAACTACGTATTTTCGTGTTATTTCAAATATTAACTTTTATCTACTGTATAATTACGATAATGACAATGATGATGATAAAAACACATCATTAAGATATAAGATTCAATCACTAACAAAATTGTAACTGCAGCAACAAAAACAACAACAGCAAAAACAACAACATCAGCCACAATTTTGAAATGAAATTTCGTTGCATTAGAAAACACAAATTAGCAAAACAAACAAACAGACAGACAGACAAACAAACAAACAAACATGCAGACAGACAGACAGACGAACAAACAACTAACAAACAATCAAACAACAAACAAAAAACAGCTTACAAACAAACAAACAACAAACAAACAAACAACCAACAATCAAATTAACAGACAAAAGTTGTCACACAAACGCAATAAAGTGTTCGTTATTAGAAGCTAAGCAAACAGACAAACTCAACCTGATGAAATTAACAAAAGTAAAGTAATGAACAACTTTTAATAATGCGCTTCACCAGCTTTTGGAAAAAAAGGAAAGGAAATTGCTAATCCAGACCCTGACCACCACTAAAAAATAATTAAGAGAGTAGTGCAAACACATTGGCCATTCATTAATGTAGAGCACATTAGACATCAGCAAGTTTGTAAAAATACGTTTACAGTAACACATGAAAACAAACACACACAGACACACACAAAAACCACTTACATAAATATATGTATAATATATATATATATATATATATATATATATATATATACATGGCTACATATGGTTACTTCTCCACAACATTCACTACACATGGTTCCATATTCAAGAGACAATTCCAACAGTATATTGCCAACTGTGTGTGTGTGTGTGTGTGTGTTTAGTGCGTGTTAGTGTGTAAAAAAGTGACACACACAAGGTGACACACACAAGATGGCACACACAAGATGGCACACACAAGATGACATACACTCAGGCATGCCCTGCTCACGCTACAACATCAGACTTAACCGCAAATTTGTATTTTCATTATTTTTAAAGAAATCAGACTCTGACGGACGCAAAAGAACATTTAAAAGCAGAACAACAACAACATCATCAACAACAACAACATCAACAACAACAACCAAAATTAAACGTAGCATCAACTAGAATAACAACCACAGTTTCAATTACAATAACAACAAATCAATGAAACGTGCGAAACCCACCACTACAATGACTCACTTGTATAAAACGCATTACCTATTGTACAGTTTTTATACAAAATCGAGCACATCAGTTCATTTAAAAAATACAAATATATACGTACAAATATACGTACAAATACACACATACAAATGAACATACAAGCGAACATACAAACAGGCATACAAAGAAGAATGTTTACAATTAAAACATGTGCGTGAATTACGATGGAGCATAATTGCATGCGAGCTACTGTGTCTGACCTCACAGAGCATACATTTCATGACATTGTTCATGAAATGAGGTTGCTGATGACGTTGTTGAAAATGACGTCAGGATGATGTTGTCGTTGTTGTTGATGATGATGTTGTTATTGATGATGTTGTTGTTGTTGATGATGATGGTGTTGACGTCGGTGCTGATAATGATGTTGGTTGTTGTGGATTATTAGAGTTTTTTTTTATTTTTTTCCGATTATTGGCTTTTGTTTGTTTAGTTTTATTCAAGATTTGTTCACGCTTGTTTCTTAGTTGAAGGATTGAAATTTATAATTCTTTAATTTTTAAAAATAGTTTAAATTAACTCTTATCATTTTTTAATTAAAATTAAAAGTAAATTAAATCCAATTATTAAATTTATAAAATTTAATACTGAATCTTAAATATGAAAAATGAGTATAAGACTTAAATGGCAAAGCATTTTTATTCTGCAGCGAATGAAAAACTTCACCTGTTAAAACATGATAACATTCATGGGGGTAATTAAGTGTCAAGCAGTTTCTATGCCTACAAAATGTTTCATTGAAATTCGTTTTTTTAAACATCTGAAAGAGAAAATTAAATTGATTGAGTAGCACATTTAAATGCATGCCATTAAATTGATTGTTGGCTCTCTTTCTCGCTTTCTCTCCTTCTCTCCTTCTCTCTTTTTCTTTTTTTCTTCTTTTCTTTCTTTCTTTTTTTTTTCTTTCTTTCTTTCTTTCTTTCTTTCTTTCTTTCTGTAGAGTATGTATTTTTGTGTGTGTTTCTAATTTGATTTTAATTTGTAGCTTGATCTATTGAGTATTTGGTTGATTGATTCATTCATTCAGTAATTTAAAATTTTATTCAAAATTTAGATGTTTTAAAACTTTAAATGAATTCATAAAAAGTTGTAAATACATTATACCACAATGGTACAGCACTAACGAACTCAGATTTTCTTTACATTAAATGTTAACAGAATTGGAAATAATAATTTTTATTTGGAAAGATGCCACAAAAACCTTTCCGCAAATACTTTTTTTAGTGATATATAACTTGAAAAAGTTGTGTCATAATCAAAATCACAATTTGGTCATACTCGTCATTTTCCTTATTATTTTCCACAGGTACATTTACAATAGAACATCAGAAAATAGTTGGTATCATAAGAGCCACAGTAACCAACCAACAAACCGTTCATCAGTTTCATTTCGATTTTGAAATATCTCTCGTGAAAAAGCATCTGATAAAGATTAACCTGAGCTTGTATAACCTTTGTAAAAATATAAGCTGATAAATTTAATTAAAAAAATTAATAATAAATACCTCAAAATAAAAGCCAAAAAAAGATAGTGACCATTAAAATAATTAGGAGGCATTTAATTAAAAATATCAATTTATCGCTAGAGAAACAAAACCCTCTCGACAATCATCATCAAAGACATCAATCAAATCAAGTCATCATCCATCATAAAATGCAATAACACATCAATCAACTTCCACAAAATATCTCCGGTCAACGAAGTTTAGAAAGATGAAGAACAAATGAACAAAAACAAAAAAAACAATAACAATAAGAAAAACAGACTATATAAAATTTTCAAAAAATAACAACAACAGTATTGAGCAACATTGCAAGAACAAACATAACTTCAACCAACATTAACATCGTTTAACTATTTAACAACGGTTAAATAAATTATTTAAAACAACGTCGACAAACTTGAGGCACTAGAAAAACGTTAAATTAAACAGAAAGACTAACTCAACAAAGGCCAACAATATCATTTCTAAACAACAAAATGAACAAAATTTCAATTAGTGTCAATGAAAACAGCCTAAAGAACAACTAACTAACAACAAACAATGATAACACAAAACAAGGACGACGACCACAAAAACGACAGCAGACTGCAACCTCATGAATAGCAAGTGAACAATCGACCGACTGAACACATCACATTACACTTACACTGCATAAAGGCTCACGCAGAGAAATCTGCGCTATATTAGTGGCGTATTTCGGCGCTGGCATCAATCATCGCGATGTCTCTCGCTGTATTATTGCGCTTCCTTCATAACGGACGCACTTCTCAGCCAGCCAGCCAGCTCGTTCGTTAACGGACAATAGATAGATGTTTGCACTGACACGTGTAACGATCAATATCACGAAGTTCGCTTTTAATATATCTACGTTATTTATTATGCGAAACAAAATTATAATTAAATGTTATCGATTGAATGAATGAATGAATGAATGAATGAATGAATGAATGAATGAATGAATGAATGAATGAATGAATGAATGAATGAATGAATGAATGAATGAATGAATGAATGAATGAATGAATGAATGAATGAATGAATGAATGAATGAATGAATGAATGAATGAATGAATGAATGAATGAATGAATGAATGAATGAATGAATGAATGAATGAATGAATGAATGAATGAATGAATGAATGAATGAATGAATGAATGAATGAATGAATGAATGAATGAATGAATGAATGAATGAATGAATGAATGAATGAATGAATGAATGAATGAATGAATGAATGAATGAATGAATGAATGAATGAATGAATGAAATGAAGGAAGAACAAATGAATGAGAGAATGAGCACATATTTTTCGTAGAAAAGCAACTAGAAGAGATTAATACCATCCATTTATTCATACATGACGCTAGCAACTACTAATGTAGCATGAAATTTTAAAGTGTCAAACAAACAAAGTAACACTACGTAACTCTAAAAATTTTGATTTGAAATTTTTTACAAAATTTACTTATTCAAATTGTTTTACTATGGACAATGATGTCACTTTGCCGATGAATGATGACGTCAAACATCACGTGGTTGACATTTTGTAACGAGCGATTTGATTGGATGACTGTTGTTTTTAAGTTGTTATAATCTAATGAAGATGTATCTCTTTGATAATTGGAAACTAAATTAAGAAAAAAAAATTTTGAATTTGAATTTTAACTTTTTACATTATATGAGATAAAAATTTCAGAAAGTCCTTTACAATTTTTTAAATAAAGACAAAATTATTTGGTATAAATATTGATAATTTCAAACATTTAAAAAAAAAAATTTAATCTGTCTTTTAAATAATGGAAAATTTAATGGAATTTTGAGTTCAAAAATGTTACACGCATAATAATGACCCAGACGCAGATAACATCCATCATTTGTGTAATAACTATTTGATTTACATAATAAGCATCGTGCATTAACATACGCTATTCATCTTTCAACATCGTTTCAATTTGCATTATCATAATCAGTATTATTTTTTCTACAATTTTAGTTATTCCAAGTGACTTCATGAGTGTCAGTATCACCATTATCCTCATCATCATCTTCATCTCATCACAAGTCTCATCACGAACATCATTACAAACATCATCATCACAGTCATCACTTTAGTCATTATCATCACCCTCGTTTTGAACTTTTACCTTTACCTCCTCCTCCTCTTCCTCTTCCTCTCGCAACCTCTCCATCTTGTTACGATTACATACGACTGAACGATGATGACGTCATTAAAAGGCAGTTATCGGTTTACTGTCACGTGACCGGAAGCTAGAGCCAGGAGAGATGGGATGGAGATGGACGGATACGATCGGAGCAAAAGGGTGATGACGAAAATGATGGTGACGATGACGATGATGGTTTTATGGATAGTAAAGAGATTAATACGTACGATGGAAATGAGCAAGCAATTCACAAATGTTTGTTAATATTCACGCTAAATTGTTATTACTTTCATTGGCTTTTTTGTATTCTTTTCAAAAACAAAACTTTATGTTTTCATTATAAGTCCATTGTAAAAGTTTCCAAAGCGAGCCATCTGGGGTAACAGTTTCTAACTTTCGCGCCCACCTGCATAGCATTACAAATATATTTTTAATAAAGTATTAAATGAAACATTTTTTTAAATAATGATGCAATAAGTTTCTATATAACATCAGCTGGCAAGGTTCTATGCGAGACTATTATTAAAATTTTTATTTTTCATAATTTTAAAAATTAATGTCATATTTAGTCATCCTCATCATCATCGTCATTGTCATCATCACCATCGTCATCATCATCATCACTGTTGCCGTTGTTGTTGTATGCGTCGACAGCGTCATCATTCAATTATCACCATCTTAACTTTCATGATTATCATCGAATTACTCATATCAATTCAACTGATGCTTGCAGTCCTTTGCGATAGCCGATGACTACTGCGGCCACCATGGCATCAACACGCCGGTCAAACGTGAGCAACCTGTTTCCGTCGAGGCAGCCATGTTGTTGCATCACACGAACGTCACATCCGTCACTGCAGTGGACGTCAGCGGTCACGTTGTTGCCTTCCTGGCTACTGATGATGGCAGAATATTCAAGGTTAGTGTTTGTTAGCTACCACCACATTTCATTCGACTCTTGTGAGTTAATTGGTATTACAGTTTATCAATTTTTTGCTGCGTTCACGTTTTTTTTTCAAATTCTGAAATCAAGCGCATACATCTCTATTATCGCTGATGCAGTTTCTTGCCTGCCTGCCTGCGTAATTACCAGCTTCATCACTGTAGGAAGCCATCCACCTGGACACGTCCTACAACTTCGCCTCAATAATAAGACCCATGTCTGGAATGTGCCAACTATAATTGAAGCATCACCAATTAAGAATCCATCATTTCACTCTCTCTCTCTCTCTCTCTCTCTCACTCTCTCTTTCTCTCTCTGCGTGTGTGTGTGTATGCGAGTACATACAGAGATAGACGCACCTCCATCTCTATATTAGCGTAGATACTTTGAATACAAACACATACATTTGTTAAAATACATAGAGATTCATACGTACATGGGATTGTTGTGTACGGAAGAATTGTACGTACGTGTGACTAACATGCAACATTCTAATAAAAATGCTTGCTTGATCGATGTGAAATGCACTAATAAGTCAATGACACTGTGAGTGTCTGTGTGTGTTTGTGTGTGTATGCTGTGTAAGCGAGTGTATGTGTATGTGCGTGTGCGTGCGTGTGTGTGTGCCTTCTTCTCTGATGGACGACGCATGCATGTGCAAGCAAATTTTTGCAATAATAAATAATGTTAGTGCAGTGGATGGGTGGTGTTCTAGATAGAACAAATTTTCTTTTTTTATGTGCTCACGAGAAATAAATTTTTGGCACCCTTGAAAAAAAAGAAAAAATTTATGTATGTGTTATCAATATGGCTTTGAAAAAAAAATAATCTAGAAATTTTTCAGTTATAGATCAAAATAATTTTTTTAATAAATCATTGTTTTGAAAACATTTGTTAAATAAGTGAAAAACTTTATTTAATTTTAGAATCAAACACAAAATTCATTTAAATTAAAAGTTATTTAAATGAATAAATAAAAAATTGTCGCTTAAATCGCTTTTGTTGACTTAATGATGAGCTGATAGAGACTGTTTTAAGGTTATCGTGCGGCATTTCATTTGGCAGGAACAATTTATGATATAAATTTTTCACTCGCAAATTATATAAAACTCTGAAACAGAAAATACAAACCGAAAAACGGCGTGGTTTGGTATTCAAAATAATAAGGGTACGTTCTAATTTTTAAAAATTAATTGAACAACTTTCGGTCTTAAACAAATTTCGTGCAAACTGGATTAGGCTTTTTACCCCATGCGGCGTTTTGCCCCATGTTACCCTACTTCAACGCTCTGTACTTCTTTTTTAGAAATGAGCATAGTGGTTTCTATTGACACTTCATTTATTGACATTTCATTATTTTACCATTTCGTTGTTTTAATCATTTACTGTCCTGGCTTTGGAAATGAAAGAGTTCTCATTATCATTATTATTATATCATTATCATCATTATCATTATTGTTGATGACGTCATAATTATTATTATCTTTTTTCATTATTATTTGAAAATTATTATTTTCGTCGTTTTTATAATAAATCATCAGATGTTGTTTTTCATCGATCTCCTCCAACGCTGATTGACTGCTGGTTGGTTAGCAGGGCGGTTTAGTTTAGTCGTTTCTGTGGTTTTGTTGTGATCCTTTTTCTTTTATTATTCATTTTTTATTATTTATTATCATTATTTTGTTTTTTATACCTTATTCTATTATTATTCATTATTATTATTGTTTATTATTATTATTTTATTACTTTTTAACAAACGGTGTAGCAATAATTATTATAATTATTACCGCGAAAACATCGTCGTCGATTGTTATCGATCATTCTCCCCAGCACATGATTGAACGTTGTTTCGGGGGTACAAGATGGAGAAAGTCATGTTTATTCCAAGAAGACAGGCGAATTTCTACTTGTTTCAATATTTCATTCCCACATTTTTCATTATGTCAGAAGATAATGTTCTTTTTTCATATCTGTACACACTGACACGTACAGAAACCACAAACATACACATACCCTTTATCGTTATCTTCATCATCCTCTCTATGGCATTTATATCTTATTATTTTCATCATCTTTTTTATCTTCATCATTTTCATCATCATCATCATCGTCATCATCTTCGTCATCTTTAACCTCCCTTGCATCATCACAGTTACACCATCATCATCCGACTAGCCATTATTATCAGCCTGCCTGCCTCTTTTCAAATAAGGCATCTTTCGATCGATGATGACACCACACACTGAATATCATTGAACTGTCTGGACCTTAGGGTTTCTGAATAAATATCAACATCTATTCACATGACTCTTTCTATTTTTTGTCTTTTTTTTCTCTTTCTCTCTTTTCATTGTTATCTCTCTCTCCCTCCATCCCCCTCTCTCTCTCTCCTTGTTTGTTTGTTGTTTTTTTTTATTTCTGATTTGTTTCGTTCACTCTCATCCAATTTGTTTTATTGCATATCTTTATGATGTATCTTTTTAAAAAGCAATCGTTTAATTGTTGTTTCCATTATTCTGTTGGAGGACTTGTTTGTTTTAAAAATCTTATATAATGTTTTCAGGATATGTTCCATGTAAGCTGTTGTTTTCTTGTAATGACGTTTAAGAAGGATACAAAAAGTAAATGCATATACAATACGGCACTCAACATTTAAAAAAATTTGAATTGAAAATTTCGAACAAAAGCTTTAAATCAGAAATACAAAATGCTTGTTTAAGTACAAATTTAAATACAAATTCAAACATGCATGTGAGAAAAAAGTAAGCAAAGAAACCGATATACAAACAAACACACAAACAAATAGACAAATGACAATCAAACACACAAGCAAGCAACCAGAGTCACGTAGAAACTGCTATTATTACGTGCCTTCCATGCTTTCATGCGGTCCTTTTAGATTGCTCTAATATCATTTCGTATGTCTTTCTCAAAGTTAACAAATTGATGGAAGGATACGTTTGAACGTGTGAGCTCTGGTACGTTTGTGTACGTATGTGCGTACGCTTGTATGTTGGTGTACGTTAGAGTGTGCGTGTGCGTTTGTGTGTGTGTAACTTAGCATGCCTGAATGTGTTTGTTACACTCGTTTGTTTCCAGCCTACGAATTAAGCATAAAGAAATTTAAATATTTAAAAAGTGCTCGTAATATAGAAACGCCATAAAAACATAAAACCATAAAGCATAGAAACATGTACCATTTCTCAGAAACATAATGCATATTGATAGGCAAAATAATAATTTTATGACGCTAAAGATTTAACAGCCTAACAGCGTGCCTAACAATCTACATAATCGTTACACACGGAAACATTTTCTTAACGTATTGGAATGGGAATAAGCAATATTAGCGATGGAAAGCCGTTTATGGATGGATGTGTTTATGGTTGGTGGAATCGTGTGAGTCACCGATGGTGGCGGTTTGTCAGATTTTCCATTTCCGTTTGCATTGGCCTTCAAGTGATGGATAGGTGTCAGTGTGGTTAAAAAATATTTGCTCCTCGTTTGTTTATGCTTTTTAATGTTTGTCTTTGCGCGTGTGAACGTGTGTTTATACACGCTCACGCACGAAGTTTTTGTGTGTTTGTGTTTGTGTGTGTATGTGTTCGATTTTTTGTGTGCGTTCAAGGTATTTTTTATCCAATTTAACGTAGGTAACTATTTCCATGATTCCATGACGAGTTGGTATGTCTCTATTTGTGG